GGATCATTAGTGGGGTGCCTTGGTGGGGTGCTGGCACCACAGGCGGAGGATTAGTGTGCTGTGCCACTGCACCGGCCCCACCCTTTGGTTTCACACACAGTCCTGCTCCAGATGCTGTTAGCTCCACAGCACAATATCAGAGAGGAGAGTTTCCATGACTAAACTATGATCATTTGTGAACACATGCCCATGAGACTGTAAGACAGAAGAATGCATAATAGGATCCCAATTTTTATTTCTTTTTTTTAAGATTTATTTTATTATTATTTTTTTTTATTGCAAAGTCAGATATACAGAGAGGAGGAGAGACAGAAAGATCTTCCATCCGATGATTCACTCCCCAAGTGACCGCAGTGGCCAGTGCTGAGCCGATCCTAAGCCAGGAATTTCTGCCAGGTATCCCATGCGGGTGCAGGGTCCCAAGGCTTTGGGCCGTCCTTGACTGCTTTCCCAGGCCACAAGCAGGGAGCTGGATGGAAAGTGGGGGTGCTGGGATTAGAACCGGTGCCCATATGGTTCAAGGCAAGGACTTTAGCTGCCAGGCCACCGCACCGGACCCCACACAAGTTTTTAACATTAAATAATTATTTATTTACTAGAAAAAGTGATAAAGGAGGGGAGAGACAGAGGGAGAGAGAGACCGAGAGAGAGAAACCGAGAGAGAGACTGTTTGCTGACCCATTGGGCCCGTTTTCCCAAATCCCCAAATGGCCACAATGACCAAGGCTAGATCAGGCCAAGGCCACAGGAACCTACAACTGCATCCACGTCTGCTATGTGTGGCAGAGATCTAGGCACTTGGACCGGCCTGTCCTGCTTTTGCAGGTGTGTTAGCAGGGACCTGGATCCAGCTGCTGTATTAAGGGATGCAGCATTAGAATGGCAGCTCAGCTCTCTGCACCACAATCATAGCGCCCGTGCCTCTGGGCCCCATACATTTTGTAGAATAAAGGAGCATTACTTTTATAATAACATTTGTTTAAAAAAACGTCAAGGCCCAGGATGTGGCAGGGCATGTTAAGCTGCAACCTGTGCTGCTGGCATCCCATATGGGATGCTCCACTTCCGCCTCAGCTCCCTGCTAATGCCCCGTGGGAAAGCAGCAAACGATAGCCCTGCAAGGGCTACCATGTGTCCAAGTGGGAGAGCTGGATGAAGTTCCTGGTTCTTGGCTTGGACTTGGCCCAGACCCAGGCCCAAGCCCCAGGCATTGCGACCATCTGGGGAGTGAACTAGCCAAGGGAAGGATCTTTCTCCATCTCTGTGTAATTCCTGCCTTGCAAATACAGAAGCTAACAGAATGAGCAGAGAAGCTTCCCTAGCCCCTGTGCTCCCAGAGGCCACTAATCAGGCCCTTTGCATCCCTGCTGAGAGGCTAGGTGGAGCTGTGATGTGGATGTGTTCTGGCACCACCCACCACCACCTTGCAGGACTTCTCTGGTAGACAGTGCAGGGGTCCTGTTCTCTTTTTTTTAAAGGGGAATACCTCTGGTATTCCCCCTTGGCAATACCCATTCTTTGACGGCCAACTATGTTATCGTTCTAGAATCTTGTTCTTGAATGATGGTTAAAGTGCAATTCGGTTTACTCATCATCCAAAACTGAAGCAGTTTATGACGGTGATAACTGACTCTTGTCGGTTTGTCCAAGTAGGGTAATTTTCTGAGATTACTTATCAGAGTCACCAGTTACAGCAGGACCGGGAGGTGGTGCTGGGAAAACCCTAGCCTGTCTTGACCTCTGCCATCTACCTCCAGTTTTCTCACAGCATCTCCCTGGCTGTGTCATGACCAGCTCTTCCAGCTCCCACAGGGACCCTCCCAACACCTGTCTATGTTTGGGAATGAGGGGTAGGGGATGTCCCAAGTGTCTTTGCTTTTATTTATTTATTTATTTATTTATTTATTATTATTATTATTGCAAAGTCAGATTTTACAGAGAGAAGGAGAGACAGAGAGGAAGATCTTTCATCTGCTGGTTCACTCCCCGAGTGGACTCAATGGCAGAGCTGAGCAAGTCCTAAGCCAGGAGCCAGGAGTTAGGAGCTTCTTTCTGATCGCCCACACAGGTGCATGGTCCCAAGGCAATGGGCCATCCTCAACTGCTTGCCCAGGCCACAAGCAGGGAGCTGGATGGGAAGCGGGGCTGCCAATATCAGAACCAGCGCCCATATGGGATCCCGGGTACATGCAAGGTGAGGACTTTAGCCACCAGGCTACCACACAGGACCCTGCTCTTACTTTTGATTCCCTCTGAGCTGTGAGGCATTTAGCACATTCATCATGTCCTGTTTCTTGGGGAAATTTCAAAGAACCTGTTTTGTACCCCTGTGGCCACGGTGGGGTTTCTCTGGAGTTCCTGCAGCTCCCCCCTGGGACTGGCAGAGCAAAGCTGGAATGGAGGCCCTGTCTCCATATCCACCACTCAGGCCTTTACTGAGCCCCCTCTGAGACCAGGCTATCTGAGACAATACAGAAAGTTGGAAAAGCAGTCTCTTACCTAGGGTTTTCTGCATATTCTCTCTCTCTTTTTTTAAAGATTTATTTTATTTTTTTATTGGAAAGGCAGATATACAGAGAGGAGAGACAGAGAGGAAGATCTTCCATCCGATGATTCACTCCCCAAGTGAGCGCAACGGCCCATGCTATGCCGATCCGAAGCCAGGAGCCTCTTCTGGGTCTCCCACGCGGGTGCAGGGTCCCAAAGCTTTGGGCCGTCCTCGACTGCTTTCCCGGGCCACAGGCAGGGAACTGGAAGGGAAGCGGGGCTGCCGGGACTAGAACTGGCACCAATATGGGATCCTGGGCGTTCAAGGTGAGAACCTTAACCACTGTGCCACCGCGCCGGGCCCTCTGCATGTTCTCTTCTTCTTTCTCCTTTTCTTCCCCCTCCTCCTTCTTCAAGATTTATTTTTATTGGAAGGGCAGATTTACAGAGATAAACAGAGAGGAAGATCTCCCATTCGCTGGTTTACTCCCTGAATGGCTGCAACAGTTGGAGCTGAGCTAATCTGAAGCCAGGAGCCAAGAGATTTGAGCCAACCTATGCTGCTTTACCAGGCCATAAGCAAAAGGCTGGATGAGAAATGGAGCAGCTGGGACACGAACTCGTGCGTACAGGTGGAGGATTTAGTCAGTTGAGCTAGCATGCTGGCTCCTTTGCTCTTCGTTTGTAAACTCTTCTGGAGAGAGCTTAAAAATCAACTCCTACTGAGGAGTGGATGACAAGAGTCTTAAAACAGAAGCTCTCTCTGGAGTGTTTTTATCTTGGGTGGAAGGACAACAGATGCCAAATACTTCTTGTGTTCCTTCCACAGATGGCATGAGGCACCGTGAAGAGCAATACAGATACCAGCTGTGCCCTCTTGGTGGTGAAGGACATAGCATTGCCTCATGTCATAAAGCAGTGAGATTGATTGTCTTATGAACTCTAGTCCCGTTTCATTTCGGTAGGATGTGAACTTAGTGCTCTTGGCAGCTTCATAAGCCATCCCATCAGACATCGTGGGAGACAGTCTGTTCATCCTATTTTTACCTGATTCATTTATTTACTTTTAAGATTTAAAAATGTATTTGAAAGGCAGAGTTACAATGGGAGAGAGAGAATCACACAGAGAGAGATCTTCCATCTGTTGGTTCACTTCCCAAATGGTTCCAATGGCCAGAGCTGGACCAGTCTGGGGTCAGGAGCCAGGAGCTTTGGGGTCCCATCTGGGTACAGGGTCCCAAGCACCTAAGCCATCCTCTACTGACTTCCCAGGCACATTAGCAGAGAGCTGGATTGGAAGTAAAGCAGCTAGGGCTTGAACTGGCATTTATATGGGATTCTGGTATTACAGGCACAGCTTAAACGGCTGTGCCACAATGGGCCCTTGTTCTGTCTTGTTATTTGTGTGCGTGTGTGTTTTTCCCCATCAGCCCATTTGAACTGGGTTCCTGTTATCAGCAGAGAATGTCCATGTGTGTTTTTTTTAGCTGTAGTAAACTTTTGCCTAATCACGAATCCCTAGTCAGAAGTCAATAAACTGTCTGCCTTTCCACTCACTCATTGCTTTACTTGATGTACACCCATGTTTACAAGGGTTTAGTCAGCCAGTCATGGAGCAAACCCTGCAGCAAGCTGGGCTTTGTTTGAGTGACCTGTGTAAGCAGTGTGCAATGTTAGGTCCCTGTGGCTTCTCGCAGTTGCCAGGTTACCTGGTTCCACCTGCCGCTGAGACCACATCACAGTTAGATCTTGGCCCTGTCCTGTGAAGACGCAGGTTAGTTGCCTGCTCCTTCTCCTGGGAAAGGGAGAATGTGGTTTGAGATGCAAGTCAGAGCACACAGAGAAGGGGAAACTGAGTCTGTGTTTTTATGTGGTTGCTGTTGTACAAGGGCGAAGCCTACCTAACCCAGGAATGCCTTTGTGCCACCCAATACACAGATAAGGTTCTTTAACTCCAAATCAACCATGCAAGTGCATTGCTTTATCACAGCAGCTGGGGGAAAGTGGAGCCTTGGCAATCTGGACCAAAGTACCTGGCAGATCATTCCCTGCACTTCACGCATCCTCTTCCAAGAGCCCTTTGCTTCCTAGAGCCCCAGGAATGGGCCTCTGCTCTTTTGCATAATCAACCAATTAATGTAACCAGCAAGGGATTAGAGATGAAGGTATTTGAACAGTGCCAAGTATCTCTGGGGGCATCACTGTTTTATTGCTAGCATGTTGAGTTCCTGCAAAAGACAAACGCAGATCTATTTGCATTTCTATATTGCCCACTTTCTGTTGCATGCCTTTCTCAAGAAAAGCAAAGTGGTTGTTCACACCGCAAACTCACAGTCAGGCACATATATGCAAAAACTTGCTCAGATGTGTGTGTGTGTGTCTGTGAGCACTCATATATCTGTGTTTTCCTAAGAACCCAATATATGTACAAATAAACCACATGTTATCTGGGGGGGGGGTACGTATCTGCTGATAGACGGTATATAGATTGCAAATTAACTCTACACATCTGCTAAATTCTGCCACAAATCCAAAGTTTATGATAGCCATGACAGCATTCATGTCAACCAAGTTACAAATCAGATACAAGTTACAATCTACTTAAAAATTGCTTTGAAAAAAATATACATATATCCCAAATATCCACACTACTTTGTAGTTAGAAAAACTGTAAGTACAATGAAAAAAAAATATATATATATATCGAGGTACCAGTAGTGACATAAGGCCTTTTCTGTCTGGTAGACTGTTTTCTGAAGTCAGGATAGTTTACTGCCTAACCATCACCAACTTAGCACGTTGAAAGTCAGAATAAGGACCTACCCTAACAATTAAGCATTGATTTGCATTAACATCTTTCAGCAGGAAGGGGTGGAGACAGGAAAAGGTGTAAGTCAAGGAGTGGCTAGCCTGTGCCTTGAAAAACCTCCTACACTCTCCCAACAGAACATTAAAGCAAGAGCTACCCAGTGAGAACAGACCAAAGACTTCCATCCGGTCTCCCTGAGTCAAAGAACCTGGGCTTCCATCCAAGGAACGCTTCCCGGCTGAGCTCGGAAGGCTGTTTTCCTGGTGCTCCAGGTGTCTGCCAGTAAACATTTATTTAATCCACATTCAAGTCCAACCTGGAAGGACCCAATTCACTATGCAAGGGAATTCAGAGAGCTGGCAGGGAGTGGGTGTTGCTGCTATGTCTTCAGAATGGTAGAGTGCAGGGCAGAGCAAGAGACCTAGACTTGTCTGCCTCTGACGGATGCTTTTCAAGGCTCCTCTGGGCTGGCAAAGCGGTCGAGCTGAGCTGTCACCTCCTGTGGCCATCCTCAACCCAAGCCTCCTCCTGTAGGTGGGGCGCACACTTAGGCTTGTTTCCTCACTCATCTCTTCTAGCTCAGCGGTTTAAACAGCAGCTGCCCAATTCACACTGAGATCTACCTGAAAGGTTCTCACTGGACTCTGGATGCCCATTGCAGGACTCCTACAACACCCAGGATCTGTATTTTCAGCACTGTTCCCTTATCTTCTTTCTGATTCGGTTTTTATTTCTATGTGAGAACCACAGAAGTCTTAGGACAGCAAAGCAGCTAGTAACTACACAAGCAAAACCTGGACTGCTCAATCCGAGCTCCGTTAGAGGTTAGCTAGAGGGAGAGGGCACCGTGGTCGGTCTCCAGGCTCCTGCAGGCTGCCCAGTGTCCCTGGGGGTGGGGTGATCACAGTCTATTGTTTTAAATAAGTTTTTCTTCTTCTTCTTCTTCTTTTTTTTCCAGACCAATCCATCAAATGATAAAGAGTCAGGCTGGGTAAAGTTCTCCGCCCTCCATTTGAGCAGTCAGAGGCAGGAAGTAATCTATCCTGGGTCCCTGGGGAATCCAGACAGGCCCTATCCTGCCACTGTTATCATTGCTGCAGATGCTGGCAAAGGCACATCCCGGGCAGCTTCATTTCTCGGGCATCGGGAGTTCTTCACATCTTAGTATCCAGGCCCAGGGCATCACCCTGGGAACAGAGAAAGGAAGAGGGAATCAGCACGAGGTTTGGGGGATCCTGACACTCAGGACAGAGGGTAGGAATTAGAGTAGTAACCATGGTAACAATAATTAAGTGCCCGTCATAGTGTTTTACATGCTCATTTCATCCTCAGGCTATGTGAGCTAGGTTAACTTTTTTTTTTTTTTTTAACATTTATTTATTTTTATTGGAAAGATAGATTTACAGAGAGAAGAAGAGATAGATCTTCCATCCACTGGTTCACTCCCCATATAACCTCAATGGTCAGAGCTGAGCTGACCCAGAGCCAGGAGCCAGGAGCTTCTTCCAGGTCTCCCATACCAGTGCAGAGTCCCAGGGATTTTGACCATCTTTTACTGCTTTCCCAGACCACAAGCAGAGAGCTGGATTGGAAGAGGAGCAGCTGGGACACTGAACTGGAGTCTGTATGGGATCCCAGGGCTTGCAAGGGGAAGATGAGCCAGTAGAGCCATTGTACTGGGCCCTTGAGCTAGGTATTTAGCTGCTAACTCTTGTTGGGCAATAAAGGCACAGAGAGGTTAAGTGACTTCTCTCAGGTCACAAAGCTTGTAAGTGGTCGAGCCAGGATCTAAACCCTGGGAACACTGCCGGAGCCCTCAAGTGATACTACATCTTCCTTCATGGCTGGCTTTCTCTGTCCTCCCTGCCTTGGTCTCCGACCCACTCACACATCCCTGCAATTTCATCTTCCGCAAAAAGCTGCTCAAGATTTTTTTTTTTTTCCCAGCAGCAATGAAAGTAGAAAAGAGCAGACAGGGTTGAAACAGGAGACAGCAGAAGGACAATTTGTCCAGCTCTTGCTTAAGAGCTATGCTAATATTTTGGCTGCTTCTGTGCTAGAGGCTGTGCCAGGATTCAGGCCTTATCTCTGTCAGTCCTGCAGCTGAGAAATGGCTGAGGGCTCGACTGAATCCACAGCGCATGGTGGTATGGGATGTGCCCTGTCATGGCGGATGACAGCCTGAGTGGAAGCAGCCATTTGTGGGGCTGGGGGCTTCTGTCCTTGGGGGCAACCCAGGGAAGGCTGTGGAGGAGGAGTGAGAGAGGCTGAGAGAGAATTTCAGAGGTCGTTGAGTGCAGGGGCTGTGAGCAATTGCACTAGGCAGTGCAGGCGACTCTAGTAGAAAGAACAGGGAGCAGGTGTGTTCTAGAACAGGTGTGTGGGTTGCTGAGTGCAGCAGATGGTCAAGCTCTAAGCTGCAGTAAGGGAGCTTTAGGGAGGCAGTACAAGTTAGGGACCCTGACAAGAGGCTCGGCATGTAGGGCAGTGTGAACTCCATCCTAAGTGGACAAACATCGTAGGGTTTGCAGGGGGAGAGTCAAGAGCAAAACGGTATTTCCAGAAGAATTCGGTGCTGATATGTGGGGTGGGCCTGGGGGCCAGGAATTATTAGAAGGGAGTTGCAGAGGCACGTCAGGGATGGAGGACTCGGGGGTGGATGGTGAAGGGATCCAGGGCAGGTGGTAGTAGGAATGCAGGGCAGCATGACCCTGAGAGAAGCTAGAAGGAATGAGAACTGAGTCTTAGTCATCCACTGGGATGCAGGAAGCCAGCAATGCCAAGCCTTAGGCAGGTGGAGGACTCTCAGAGTCTCATCAGCCGAGGCAGAAAAGGACTTGTCCTGCTGACAAACTAAAGAGAATGATGTGGGCGGAGCCTTTGCCCCAGGCAATGGGGAAGTCAGCACTGGAGCCTGTACTGAGCACGGCTTTGGATGTTTGCCTTTGCCATTTCAGCGCTGGGTCATACATTGCTGGGGAGTATTGCTGGTGCATACATCTGGTAAATTTGGCTTAGTTTAAAAACCATCCCGTGCTTTCTCTTAAAGAACAGCTTAATCCCGCCTCTGCCTCACACTGTACCATTGGAGAGTAGCACCTTTAAAAAAAAAGGTTTTTTTTTTTGTTTTGTTTTGCTTTTTAAATATTTATTTATTTTTATTGCAGTCAGATATATAGAGAGGAGAGACAGAGAGGAAGATCTTCCATCCTCTGGTTCACTTCTCAAGTGACCGCAATGGTCAGAGCTGTGCCAATCCGAAGCCAGGAGCCAGGAACTTCCTCCAGGTCTCCCACACGGGTGCAGGGTCCCAAGGCTTTGGGTCATCCTCAACTGCTTTCCCAGGCCACAAGCAGGGAGCTGGATGGGAAGTGGGGCTGCCAGGATTAGAACCGGCGCCCATATGGGATCCTGGTACATTCAAGGCGAGGACTTTAGCTGCTAGGCCACAACACCGGACACAGTAGCACCCTTTTTATTCTTCTGTTATGTTGTTACTTAATTATTTATCTATGCCCCAGGTTCACCTTCGGATACGTCCTGTCTTGCATAGTGGCAGGATAAATATGAAGAGCCTGAATGCCACCGTCCTAGTTTATCCTAGCCTTCAGTCTAACAATTGGGGCATGCCTTGGAGTTTTGCTTGGGGAACCAGAAAACAGTTCAGTACTGCCTCTGCTGCACCCAGGAAAGTACTGACAGAGAGGCGTGGCTACCTGGGGGGAGGCCTTGAGGGCCATACTGGGGACTGGTTCTCCCAGGGAATACTTTCACGTTAATGCCTGAGGCATTTTGATTCTAATCTTGAGCAGCCTGTGAGGAGCAAAAGACCTGGAGGCACCGGCCCCGCCTTGTGAAGGAAGGCTGCTGCACAGCTGCAGTGAAAGTGTCTGATTCGGATACTTACAGCAGGTGCTCCACCTGTCAACCCTGACTGAGCTCTGTGACCCTGGAAAGTTTCTGTCCTCCAGCTGGAAATTAGGAAGGTTGGGTTCCCTGGTACCAGCTGTGTGTCCCAGGGATGGATAAAAAGGGAAAAAAGGGGAGAGTTGTGGAGTTAGTAACGTATTGGGGATTGACGGATGTGGGGACCATAGGCAGGAGACGATACAGGCTCAATGGCTTCATCCTCAAAAAGGATGAAGGACTTGGGCCATGTTTTGGCCTCTTGGAAACTGAATGGACACTCTAAATCCCAGAAGATTCTGAATCTAAGGACTGGTCCCTTACAGCGAAAGATGTCACAGAAATATTGGAAACATCCTTGCCCGACAGTGCAATCACAGCAGTGTCAGATGCATGCTGGGAGTCTTTGGCACTTACTCCTCGGGAGTGTTCCATCCCACTAATACCTATGGCTGGATCATTAGCGATTACTTTCCTTGGGTCAGGCAGTTTTCACTTTCACACTTCTTTCATTCACACACAAAATATATTTTAAAGCACCCACTATGTTCCAAATTGTGCAGTACACACTGAAAATGCACTGGAGGAAAGAGTAAAAGACGGAATTAAAGGCCTGGTGTGATAGCATAGTGGCTAAAGTCCTTGCACACCAGGATCCCATATGGGCACTGGCTCTAATCCTGGCAGCCCTGCTTTCCATCCAGCTCCCTGCCTGTGGCCTGGGAAAGCAGTCGGGGACGGCCCAAAGCCTTGGGACCCTGCACCTGCTTGGGAGACCTGGAAGAGGCTCCTTGCTTCAGATTGGCTCAGCTCCAGTCATTGCGGCCGCCTGGGGAGTGAATCATTGGATGGAAGATCTTCCTCTCCTCTTCTCTGTATATCTGAATTTCTAATAAAAATAAATAATTCTTTTTTAAAAAGAAGTAATTTAAAAAAAATGAGCAAGAGGGGACAGGCATTGTGGCAGAGTAGCCTAAAGTGCTACTTGTCAGTAGGAGTTTCTCAGGGCACTAGCTGAGTCCCATCGGCTCTGCTTCTGATCCAGCTCCCTGCTAATGCTCCTGTGAAGGCAGCAGAAGATGGCTCAACCTGGGCTCCTGCCATCCTTGTAGGACACCCATGTGTAGCCCTGTCTCTAGGCTTCCGCCTGGCCCAGTTCTGGCTGTTCTGGTCATTTGGGGGAGTGAAGCAACAGACAGATGAGAATCCTCTCTCTCATCTCTCTCTGACACTCTGCCTTTCAGATAAATGAGAATTTCCAGCAGCAGCAATATGCCACGATGACAAAGTGAACTAAGGGGAAAGAGTATCTGCCAGAGTGGGCAGGGCCTGGAGACACAGACAGCAGAAGGCCAGTGGGTGACAGAGGTGGGAGTGAGGTGTCTGAGGTCACTCAGTGCCGAGGAGATTGACAACCACCTGCAGCTGGAAGAGACCACAAGGGACTCCAAGAATTGCAGGTGAAGTTCGCCAGAACTTCAAGCAGAGAGACGGCCTCTCCACACACCCAAGATGCCAAATACAACAAGTGAGCCACACAAGGCGTCTTTATTTCAGCAAGGGAGGTGGCTGTGGAGACAGAAGGGAGCAGAGAGAGAGACAGAAACAGAGAGCATGAGGAGAGAGAGAACGAACAGTTCAAGGTGGGTGTGGGGAGTGCAGGATCAGGGACTGGCAGATGCAGCTGTAAGTGGACACACTGTGGATAAATACCTCCACGGACGGATTGCAACCTGAAGGTCATTAAGCTTACTTAGGCAAAGTGGGTCCTAAGGAGGCCAAGACCTAGGAGATTCATAATAGTGCTGGATAAACAGGCATTCCTGGCATTCAAGGTGATCCTGAGTCGGACGGTGGGGGCCAGTCTCAGGGTCAAGTCATTCCACGCAACTGGGACCTGTAGGAGAGCCAACTCTGCAGGCTTCTCCAGGTTGGGAGTCCTGGCCTCTGGGACCATGGGAAGGGATAGTTCTATCATGTTAAGCCACTGAGTCTGTGGGCGCTGTCAGAGCAACGCTAGCACAGAGAGCTGGGTAGTTTTTGAAGAGAGCAAATGATTCAAAGCCATGGGCAGAAAAGGGTTGCACAGGCAAGGAAAAGAATCAAAGAGGAAGCAGGAGACCAAATAAGGAGCTGGGGGGCAGGCAGCTGATGGCGGCTTGGGTGGGTGAATGAAAGCACTAACAAGGGAAAGCAAGGACCCGATCTGACTGAGTTAATGAGCTGTGGGGCCGAGGACTTGGGGATGAGACACCAAGACTTTCTGGGGTGTCTCTTAAAGCATCTCTCTCTAAAGACCCAAATATTCACCTTTGCCTAGAGGTGTCCCCAACTTGCACCTGCTGTCTACAAACAAGTGGTTTCACCCTCCACTGTGCTTCTGGCTTCCTAGGAGAGGCTCCTGTCCCCTTCTGCCTTGCTAATGCACACCAAGGAATTGCTGACGGCCCATGACAGGTCAGGAGGGTCCCTCCTGCTGGACTCCTGCACTCAGCAGGCCTCAGCCACAGAGTCGAAGTGCCATCACTCCATTGCACCCAGCACTCCTGGGCAGCTCAGGGCAGCACAAGGCAGCATAAAGCTGCAAGCAGCCCGAGATGCACTGCTCATTCTTGTCCTTTGGTCCCCCCACCCTGACTGGCTGTCCCAGTGCAGTCTCACGAGGTAGAAACTTCATGTCTTTGTCTCCATGCTCTAAACTGATCTGGGATGGCGCTGAAAGGAGCAGGGCATGGACCTCCCCACGTGAACAAGCCCGGCCACCTACCTTTTCCTTGGGGTCGGCTGGCTCGCTGTTGTGGACCTCATTGTTCTCCAGTGGGGTGTGGCTGTTTCTGGGGCTGCAGCCAGGCTCGGGGAGTGCCTCTTCCGCTTGCTTCTCCTGGTTTTTATCCTGCTTGGAGGTGTCGCTGTCTTCCATGCCTGCAGGTGGACTTTGGGGGACCTGGTCCCCCACAGCTGCCCCCTCCTCTGGCTTCTTGGAGTCTGGGCTCTGCAGTCCAGGTTTGGCCTCTGCACATCCTGTCTGCTCCCCCTTTCCTTCTGTTTGCTCTTCTGCTGGCTTTGTCTCCTTGGGATTGGCATGGCCGCTCTCTGCCTCTGGGCTGGAGGCCTGTGAGGGTTCGGGGGTCCCCCCTTCTGAATTCTGCACAGCCCTCTCGCAGTGTGGGTCTTCCTCCTCCCTGGCCCCGGGCCGCTCCTCCTGCTTCTCCGCCTCGCTGCGTGTCCTCCTCAGAGGGGGCTTGTCCCCAGGCCCCAGGGGTGCCTGCCCTCCCTCTCCTGCAGCTCCCCCGCTGCACAGTGGGGTCCCCGGGACTCGGCTCTTGGCCAGAAACACCTCATCTCCATTCTCTTCCTTGGCGCCATTCTCCTGAGTTGTGTTTGTGCCCCTGAGGTCCCCCAGGTCACCGCAGTCCGACTGGGATCTTCGGAACCGCCTGGAGGGAGGGCGCCTCTTGATTGAGCCCCTCGTCCGCACCTGGAAGAAGGCATTCAGGAAAATGACACCCAGCTAAGCACTGCTTCACAAGCCCCACGATGGGCTGCTTCTTAGGGGAACGTCACTGCTACTTATCATGGGCCTGGGTAGAGACAATGTGAAACCATGGTGTGCCCGGGACCTCAGGGAGGTACAGATGGTTCCCCACACCTACAGGAAAATGAAGGGCTCTGAGAGGGACCTGCTGTTTGACACGGTGATGCCCAACATCCTCCCATCAGTTTGTCTGGATTTGAATCCTGACTCTGCTTCCAATCCCAGCTTCCTGGGAGGCGGCAGGTGCTGGCCCTAGTAGCTAGGTCATGGCTACCCTCGTCAGAGGCCTGCACTGAGTTCCAGCTTTTAGCTTTACCGAGTCACAAGCCCCAGCTCTTGCAGGCATTTGAAGAGTGAACCAATAAATGGAAACTCTACTAGTCTGTCTCTGATTTGATCCCTTACAAATAAACTGAAAAGAAATAAATGGAAAAATCTTCAAAAGCTTTTACTGTCCTAATAAAACATTGACCTGTTTGGTGTCTAACTTAGCAATTTTATAAGAGCAGGTAAAAAATGGCCTATAAATATCAATTCTTCACATGCTCTTTGACCATCTAACAGGTGTCCTCCTAAATTACAAGCTGAATAAGAGCCATCTATGTTTTGTACGGCTCATGTTCTCACATCTGGAAAATGATGCCTTGACCAAGATGCGCCCAACAGAACAGAGGGCAAGAGGCCAGCTGACACCCTTGACCCTAGTAAGGGGACCTCTTCGGTGACAAGTTAGATAACTAGCTGGTTCAGCTTCCTTTTTGGTACCAACTCAGTCCTTCCCACTCTTAAAAATTTGGCTTACTGAAAAGCGTTCAGCTCCACCAATATCAGACACTATTCTTTAGGGCACCCCAGGAGGGCTTCCAGAAAGTGACTCCTGACTCCCAGAAACAAGGCTTTTCCTGGCTCATGACACCTGCTGAAAAATGCAATTCAGGATCTGTGTCAGAAGCCCAACTCAACTGTAACACTGTGTCCTTCTAAAATGTATATGTATACAACATTTGTTTCAATCTTATTTTCCTGCTGAGCGGCCCTTTGGGATGCTTCCAGCCTAGAAAATCCCAGAGGTTGGGAGAGGACATTGATATGTTAGCACTTCCCAGATCTTCTTCTTCTTCTTCTTTTTTTTTTTCCTAAGACCACCAGCAGGTTAGCATTGCAGACATCAAAGGCCCTGGCCCTCATGACCAGCAGGTTTCCAAACGGTTTTGTCTGCTCCTTTGCTGCAGTCAGAAGACTGAAGCCTCCAAGGACATTCTGTTCTTGCCCTGCCTCCCTCCTGGGAGGCTGGGGGGAGATAGCCTTCTAGGACTCATGGATCAGATGCTCCTGAGCGTGCGCCCATGCCTCTGCCAGCTCAGAGCCTCCGTGCTATTCTCACAGAGGAAGCACTCAGACCACTTGCCACAGAATGTCACTTCACACATGCATACTCCAGACTCCCCTGGTGCCACCCACCTAGACAGACTAAAAGCTGGAACTCAGTGCAGGCCTCCGAGCACACTGAAGGGACATGACACTGTGCTGCCTGCTGCCTCGTGTCTGCCTTCGAGGTGTCCATCACCTCCGCTCATCACCACAGGGAGGACCTCTGCTCTGGCCCCAGGCAGTAAGCTCAAGCTCACTCCAGTATCACTAGTACTCTTGGGGCCCTCTCTGTTTTTAAACATTCTTTTTTTTCTGCATACATTTCCTGGAATGACCTAGAAGACCTCCATTCTGAAGTCACAAGACCCTGTCCCTTGACTGTCTCAGCCCTGGCCTGGCTCTAGCCCACAGGTGCTGCCGACCGGTTTGGACCACATCATATGATGCTGATTTTAACTCCTCCCAGTAGTGGGTCCAGGGATCTGCTGAAAAGGTTTACACCAAGGATCAGGGTAGTCTCCGCAGAAATGAGCCCTACTGCTTTTTGTCTGCACAGAGACCCTCGCTTAGGCTGGAGCCCATCCTGGGGCACTTCCCATTGCACCACAGAGGACCATCTGGTGGTGTCCTCAGGGCCCTGCCTGCCTTTCCAGGTGAACCGTGGGCGGGATCTTCAGCTTTGGTTTGCAGCATGCGCCATTTCTCCTCTCCTAGCAGTCTGCATCTCCCTCCCCTTTCGCCAAGAAAGACAGAGGCTAAACGTGGTGCTAGAGCTGATGGCACAGATGGAGGGGAAGAGATGGGAGAAGCAGGCCCCAGCATCGTTTGCAAAGGAGATGAGAAGCCTCATTTTTTTTTTTTTTTGTGGGGAAGCCGGCTCTGACTGGGACTGCGCATTAGCTGCCCCTTTCTCCGAGAAGAAGGGGAAAGAAAAACTGGCAGTCCTCCCCTTTCCACAAGCCAGCACTGGAGCCTACAACGCACCTTATTGTAGCAGGGCAGGTGACTGCCTTCAGGAGGCTGGTCGAAGCTAACAGGGACCTCCTCTGCCTCGCTGCCCCGAGACCGCACGCCAGGACTGCTGGGGGTGGAAGGAGGGCTGTGAAACGGTGACACCACGGCCTTGAGTCCGGGACTCTTGGGCGACGCTCCAGGCAGCAGAGCCGCTGGGTCAAAGGTTAAATTGGCCTGTAGAGAAACGACCAGAGCAGGGTGAGGAGCTCGATGGTTACCTGGCCACATGTCTGGTGGATGCTGGCTTCCGTGAGGCTTTTCGTGTGATTTCTCCGCCGGTTCTCCGTTACCACATCATGTCACGCTCCTGGAAGCACTGCCTCCTCGGTCCCTCTCCTGCAGCCTGCCTCCCCAGAGGCTGATCTCCAGAAAGCTCAGGGAGTATTGATGTGGATCCAGGAAGATGCCCTGAAATGATCTCAACTTGCAAAGTGGCCAGAGCAGCACCTGCAGCCCAGGAACTTAAAGGAAGCCATCACCTCTTGGGGACCCAGTACTTGCTGCACACATGCCATTTGTTCCCTTTGCAACAACCTTGCCTGTTCAGGCTTATCCTCCCTGCCCACATCAGTGTAGTGCCCTGAGGGTCACACACAGTGTGTTTGTGTGTCCCTTAAGACCCCAGGGTGCAGGTTCTTAGAAAGGAAGATGGCAGAAGAATTCAGTCTTTGCTACCATTTGAGACACTGCAGGGCAAGTCGGACCCCGTGCAAACACACCTAAGGGCAGCCAAAGGGGAGAGTTAGCCTAGAGTGACCGAAGCCTGGGGGAGTCCTGAGTTTGGGAGGCTGGGTTCCTGATCCCACCCCATTATCACCGGGCAGAAGGTGTCCCTGGAGGCCTTGGGCGGCAGCATCCTGGACATTCTTTAGCGCCATCTAGGGGTGTGCCTCCCCTCCTGCCCTCTGCATTTTCTAGTCTGCGCAGCAGTGTCCTGTGGCGGTGGTACAGGTCCCGGTGTCAGACCCTGAGGGACCGCTAAAGCTGGCTCCTCTTGGCTCAGATGTTGGACCACTCATGTAACAGAGGCTGTGTGGCCTCTGGCAAGTCCAACAGCCTCTCTGAGTCTCGGATTCTTATCCTGACTTCCTGAGTCTGTTTCATCTGGTTCTGGTCACTTTATCCTGCAGCTCCTTGCCTCACAGCCCGCACTCACACCTCTGCCTTCCTCCAGCCAACTTTGGGTCCCCAGAACTCCCCCGTACACTTTTGGACATGCGGACCATAAACCATTAGGCAGGCTGTGGAAGGTATTAGGTTTTTCTTTTATTGTGATCTGAGGAGAGGATCTACGAGACAGACAAGGCTCAGTCAGGGACACTGCTCCTGTTCCGTGGAATGAAGTATTGCTCAATTCTCGATCCGAGAAGAGAGCCGATTAGGATCATTTAAACAGAAACAGGTCACTGTAAGAATTCAACCTGTGAAATATACAAGTCAGGCACAAGGCCGTGTGCCCAGGCATGTCAGAAAACAGCACGTGGTGAGGAGGAAAGCAAGGGTCTGGCCCGCCCACAGCTGGTCAGGCTCTTGGTGTCTTGGGGGGTCTCCAAGGGCATCCCGCTGGGCTTTCTGTGGCTGGCACAGGCGGCCCCCATTGTGGAAGCATCAGACAGGCGAGTCTCCACCGTAAGACCGTGTGCTAGGAAGATGGGTCTGGCCCATTCTGCTTCACATGTGAACTTGAACCGACAGACTACTCTAGCAAAGGAAAATCACGGGTTATAACACATCCAACAGACTATTTAGAGCAAAAAACAAAATCTAGCCAATGACAGATTTCTCATTTCCTTCCCTACCCCGGCCGTGCCCCACATGCCCCACAGCAAATTGTTAACAAAGCCAGGTTCCTTTGGTGTTTGGCTGACTTATGCTTCTATTCTTGAAAAGATGAAAAGAGTTAGGCACCCAAACCTCATGCTCAAGTGGCTGTGTTTCCAAGAAGACTTACAGATGACTGGCACAGGGCACGAGCCCAACACTATGGGATATGGAACACTGGGAAGCCAGTTCTGGCGCTGGGATAGGGTTAGGGGAGCTCTCTCTGTGTTGTGCTGGGGTGAGGAGGGAAGGGGGGATGCCAGGCTGTAGCCCTCAGCTGGCAGCCAGAAGGCATGCCAGAGTCCCAGGGCCCTTCCCAGAGGCCTCTGTTATGTGCATGGGTGGTCTGCGGCCCCTCTGTCCTCTCTGCACCTGGGGCAGAGCAGGGCATCTCAGGAGGAACTAAACGTCCAGGGAGATCCCACAGAGTTCTCCTGGATCTGCAGGGTAGGGACCAGGGCTGCTGCTGAGTGGATGCACAGACAGCCCCCCTGCCTTTACTCCTACCCCCAGCAACAGAGTGACCCAGCTCCAACAACGCCAAGGCCAGGGAGCCCTGGATTGCAGAGCAGGAGTGGGGCCCACACCTGCAGGCGAGATCCCGGCTGTTTATGTTTGTGTATCTTTCCTTCTACTGGACTGAACACCTTGTGTCCCCAACAAGATTGTGAGCTCCAGGCAGAGTCTTTTGCCTCATGGACACTCCAGGCCTGCCATGGTCCCAGACGGAAGGGGGCTGTGGGCACCAGGGTGACTGATGGAGATGCAGGGTAGCCTGTGCTGTAAGCAAGGCATTTGGCCATTGCAGTGCAACGGGCAGCAGCTGTGTGGGGCTGAGATGGTTCGGAGCAGTAATTAGGCTCTGGGGAAGAGAGCTGGGCTGTTTCTGGAACGTTTCCGGAAACCATAACATTCCTTCCCCTTACAGCGCATGAGCTATCCATTGGCCCATCAGCCACTGGGTGTTATTCCTGCCCCTGTTGAGAGCTGTGAGGCCCTCAACCCTTAGTCACTAGACAATTCTCAGGGGCCAACCACCCAGGACACTCAGGGCTACCCCAGGAGTCATGGCAGACACACACATTTCAGATGAGAGCCAGAGCTGCACAAAAGGTAGCTGTGGGCAATGTGTTCTGTGCTTACCTGAAGCTTTTCAATCAAAGGAGAACTCTTCACCTTGACCTTAGGAGGGTGGCTGGCATTGGGCGGTGATTTCTATAGAGCAAAGGGATCAAAATAACCAGGTGAGTGAGATGAAGGGAGTTGGTTTCTGGCTGAACCCCAGAAACCTCCAGCAAGCAGAAGTTGGTGTCACCTTGGACTGCGTCACTTAGTTCCACTGACTTCTTGGGGAGGCAGCCCCTCCTGTCCCTCTCTCCATCATCTCACTGCAAGCCGTAAGTCAGGAGAGCCAGGACAGACATCTGAAAACCAGGGGGCCTCCTGGGCATGATGAGGGGGCCTGCACCTGCAAGGCCTTCACCTTGGGACCTTCAACTATCGGATGGAGCTTCCAAGAGATAGGGCAATAATGGCCATCTAATTCTGTTGGCCATAAAAGAAAACAAGGAAACACAGGCCTGGGGTGAAACCAGGCAGGTATTCTGGGAGTCCCTCCTTCATGCTTATGGAGTTCTGCACGAGCACCCCCAGCACTTCCAATGGCACTGTCTTCTGAATGTGGAATGTTCATCGTGGTTGAGCATACATCTGTGGAATGTCTGCTGTGATCCGGGCACTGTGTGGGCTGCACAAAGGTGAGCATGGCTTTGTCCCTGCCCCACAGTAGCCATCTTGGTGGACCCCATGTGCTGCAGAGCTGGCTGAGTGTGTGCTGGGATCACTTAAGGTAGGTTAGTTCAGGAACCCTTGTCTGCCTTCCGATCCTGTGTTAGGAGAAAAGGTCAACTCCTCTTCCTCTCTTTAAAAGATTATTTATTTATTTGAAAGTCAGAGTCACAAAAAATGGGGATAGATGGTTCTTCTATCTGCTGGATGGTCGCCATGACCAGGGCCATGCCAGGTTGAACCCAGGAGCCAATAGCTTCACCCAGATCTCCCATGTAGGTATTGGGGCCCAAACACTTGGGCCATCTGCTGCTGCTTTCCCCAGGCCATTAGTGGGGAGACAGATCAGAAGTGAAGCAGCCAGCCATGGAACAGCCACTCCTATGGGATGCTGGCATTGCAAATGATAACTCTTCACTATGACACAAAACCAGCACCAGCTCCTTGCTCTGAGATTCCCAAGACTTCGTGAGGGAAATGATGTGATAATGCAGAAGGAGAGGACAGTTTTAAGGTGTTGGATATCTTCAGGGCAAAGAAGGGATCTTTTTATAATTTGGTGCCTAGTACATGTTACCTGTACCTCATTCCCAGTAAAAATTTCCACTAACTCTAGCAAATCCTTCCAAAATAACTGCTCATGCAGTTCTTGAGGATGGCAGCAGGTGGCAGCATTTTGTTTATGGTTTAGCAGGAGGCTCCAGAGTGGCTAGATCTATAAGGCCTGGAAAATAAGCTGGTTGTTTAGATGGGAGTTTTTCTCAGCTCTTTTCTGAGCTGATGAGGCAGGAAACACTTGCCTGATTCTGTCAAAGAGAAGTAGTCAAGTTCACCCTGCAAGAGGGCTCTGCAGTCAGCAGGTGCTGCCCAGGGGCCTGTCTCCAGCATCTTAGGCCCCAGCAGGTCCAGAGAGTGTCAGGGATCAAAAGGGATGGAATGAACCTTCCTTCTGGGAAGAGCATTGGCCAGCTGCAGACTGCACTCCAGAAGTGCAGAAGCAGTAGAGGGGTCAGGCTGGGTCCAGCACTACTGGGAAATTCTGGCCACTCAGGCTATTTCTATGAGGAACTCAAGGCCATGAGGTCACAGATCCCCAGAGGCAGGGTTCTCCCTACGAGCAAGCAGTCTGCCACCCCAGGCAGGACTGAAGCCACCCAACCCACCCCCACACCTGCTCCACCCCCTCAACCGGGGAGGGGGCTTGGGCACAGTTATTGAGGTGCCACTCAGAATACCCTCAACCTCCATCAGATTGTACAGGTTCAAGTCCTGGCTACCAATCCCCCTTCCTGATTATGGGTGCTCTGGGAGGCAGCCAGTGACGGCTCAAGTGGTTGGGTCCCTGTCACTCACAAGGGGGACCTGGAAGGGGCTCCTGGTTCTAGGCTTGAGCCTGGGCCAGCCCTGGCAGTTGCTTGTGTTTGAGTAGGACTCTGTCCCCTGACTTTCAAATAAAACAAAACGGAACCCCCCAAAAACCACAAAATCAAAATGAAACAAACCTTCAGAAAACACAAAACACCACCCTTCCGTTCCTTCACTGCTTGGTTATTGGATGCTGTGCAGCTCCTAGTTTGAGGTGCTCTGTGTGCCACAGGGTATAACCTGTAACTCTATCACTGCCCAAACCCTGGAAGAGAGCTGCTTAATCTGACCAGAACCCACCTGACTCACTCTGCTTTCATTCCAGGGAAGAAAGCTTCTCCCCATCAGACTACATGATCTAGCTGGCCAGAGTCCCTGTCTCCATTTTGCAAATAAGGGAGCAGGCTCAAAATGGCTTGGCGACTTCTCCTGGGCCAAGCCTGGGTGATCAGTAACCACAGCCTTCACCTGCTGCATGGCAGCTGTGCCACCCAGCCCAGTGGGGAAAGCTTGTGAACAGAGGCTGGTCCCCTGCAAGGAGAAGTCGGTGGTATGCACTTAACCCTGGCTGGTAACCTCATGCGGCCTAGGCCTGTCATACTGGCGCTTGAAGACACCCAACCAAAACACTGCTGCTTTAAACAGTGCTCCTGGGGACTTGTTCCCAGCACAAGCCCCTTGTTTGGTGTGAGAGGGCAGAGGATTGTCAAAGCAACCAGGCTGCAGGCCCCCCAGCCTTTCCCACCGGGCCAGGAACAGCCAACTCTTGACTTGATCTGCTGAGTATCTTGGGTTGACAAAAATCTTTGAAAACTGCTGCCATGCTCCGACTCTGTCATTTCATGGATGCAAGGATGAGGGTACCAAGAGGCTTGCCCGGGACCACAACAGGCACCGAGGATGCTCGTCCCCAGAATGGAACAGTTGGTGGAAGAACCCAGGAGCTGAGCTGTCTTTTGGGGTCCAGGCATGTAACTCAATGAGGTTACTCACAGATCTATATCTCAGGCACGGACCTTGACAGCAGTTGAGGCGTGTGGGCTGCTGGGATAGGGGCTCTTGGGGCCACACTCGGGTAACTAGGGTTAGGTGAGTACGCAGGCTGGGACTCAGGGACTGTCTAGGACCTGTGATTCCGGAGTCTTTATTACATTGGTAGCATTGGCTATTTCGATCCAAGGCCAGCAAGGGCTCTGGTTTCCTCCTGGCCATCCAGAACAACCTCCAGCCTTCAGACAGACATCGCAGAACCACAGAGTCTCCCATGTCACAGTTCTGCCTCCTGCCTTTCTCCACATGTTACTCCAAGATGATGTGGAAAAGCTTTCTTTCCTCCTGAGTTCCATTTATCTTCTTTGTTGAAAGTCCCAGGCTTGTAGCATAGTGTCCCTGACCAAGCCCAAGGGAACAGGGCGGGGCCTAGTTTCCAAAGTGAGGGATAGGGGAGGGAGAGCCAGCAGGGGAGGAGACTCCTCCCAGGATCTCAGTTGCAGGAGGAATCCCCAGGCAGGACCAAAGTGCCTCTTCCTCCAGGCAGTCCTGTCCTGGAGCCCCGGCCCACTGCACTTACCTCCTCGCCATTCTGGCCCAGCTCTACCTTGGGGGGGAACAGGGGGAGGGAGCAGGGCGGTTTTCTTCTTGTTGGTTTACTGGTTGGTGTCTAGAGGAGGGATGGTGACGGACAGACACACAGAGAGAAAGAGAGCGCTTATCAGGCAACAGGGAGGGAGAAGAAGGAGGTGGGAACCAGGGCAGGCAGGTGTGGGGGTGGGAGGGGATGATGCAATATGGACACAGTCGTAGACTGTTTAAATCAGCAGCCCCTCACTGCCCACCCGTTTTGACTTCCAGCCCCTCCTGTCATTCCCTTGCTGTTAGAGCATCTGTTTGTGCTAGGGATCCACTGACAGGAAACCTTCTCGACAGGACCTCCACAGCCAGCCTGCAGGCACTCTTGTGATGTTCAAAAAAGCTGGACTCATTGCAATTGCCGAGGAGCCAGTTGGGCGAGTTATCCTTCAGCTCCAGGACATTGAGGGACCACCAGGCATCCTGATGTCCCCTGTAACTCTCATATCCTATCACCAGCGGCAGTCTGAATCAACCCCCTCCCCAAGGCTCAACTCTTCTTCCGCTCTTCCTTGGGCTTTGTGATTCTTCTGGAATCCTTTGACACCCCTCGACCTCTTTCCTTTCCTGTTCCTGATTCCTAGGCTACAAGGTTAGACTCTTCTCTCTGAGCCAACCCAGGGGCACAATTGGGCAAGATCTTAGCCTGCCTCATAGGATGATGGGGAGGAAACCGAGGCAGACTTCCATCTCTAAGGCAAGCCCTTTCAGCTCTCCACCCTGTTTCCCCCTGCTTCTTGCATAGGGAAGCCTCTTTCTGTTGAAGAACCTTCATCCAGCCTCTCACAGAGAAAGGGGTGCTGGAGCCCCTAGACTTACCTCTTTTGCAGCAGCTGCCTGTTCCCTAAAGCGCCCGGCCAGCTGGGCCACTGATGGGGATGCTGAGCTGTCCACATTAGCATTGGTTTCTGCCGGTCTTTCCTGAAAACACAAGAAGCAAAAATGATTCAGCCAAAGTGTACTGGGCTTTCATCAGCTGGTGCCATGCAAGGCCAGTGATGCTGGGATGCTGAGATGATTTCATCTAAAGAGGAGATCAATTAGGTATTTCTTTTTCTTTTTCTTTTCTTTTTTTTTTTTTTTTTAAGATTTATTTATTGTTATTGGAAAGGCAGAGAGACAGAGAGGAGGAGAGACAGAGAGGAAGATCTTCCATCTGCTGGTTCACTTCCCAAGTGGCCGCAATGGCTGGAGCTGAGCCAATCTAAAATCAGGAGCCAGGAGCATCTTCTGGGTCTCCCACGCGGGTGCAGGGTCCCAAAGTTTTGGGCCATCCTTGACTGCTTTCCCAGGCCACAAGCAAGGAACTGGATGGGAATTGGAGCTGCCAGGATTAGAACTGGCGCCCATATGGGATCCTAGTACATTCAAGGCAAGGACTTTAACCGCTAGGGTTTTGCGCAGGGCTGGCAACTAGGTATTTCAACAGCATTTGTTGAAATGCTGTTCCTCTGTGCAAACTTGTTCCTCTGTGCAAACCTCTGGAAGACTGTTCTGGCAACCACATTTGATGAACATCTACAATGTGCTTGGCTTTGGGTGTGCCTCTGGGCACCTGGGGGCAGATGCAGTTTGGTGTAGTCCTGGAGGGGTGCCTGCAGGTTTTGGAGGCAGCACGGACCTCCAGCTTCTCATTCCACAAAGGTCTCAGGAGAGGAAGGCCGCAGTGTAAGAATATCACTTCCTTGTTCAGCTTGGCCAAATGCATTTGGAGAGAGGGACCTTCAGTCGTAATGAAATAGGATGAACAAATGTGCCTTATTGAGTAGTGTTTTAAAAGATATATTTCTTTGAAAGGCAGAGCTTGAAAGAGAGAGAGAGAGAGAGCACTTCCATCTACTGGTTCACTCCTCAAATGGCTGCAAGAGTCAAGTTGAGACCAGGAGCCAGGAGCACAATCATGGTCTCCCACATGGGTGGCAGGGACCCAAGCACTAGGCCATCACCGGCTGCCCCCAGCGCATTCATCAGCCAGAAGCTGGATCGGAAGTAGAGGAGCTAGTGTGACCCAGGTACCTGATGAGGAACGCAGGAGTACCAAGAAGCAACACAGTCACTGAGCCAAATGCTTGCCCTAGCTAAATGGCCTTCTTTATATATATATTTTTAAGTTTAAAATCCAAGAGATATGATGTTCCTATTGTTATTGTGATAGTGGCATTTCTATTTCTTTTTTTTTCCTAAGATTTATTTATTTCTATTGCAAAGTCAGATATATAGAGAGAGGAGGCAAGACAGAGAGGAAGATCTTTCATCTGATGATTCACCCCCCCAAGTGACTACAACGGGCCGGTGCTGCACTGATCCTAAGCCAGGAGCTTCTTCCAGGTCTCTCACACGGGTGCAGGGTCCCAAGGCTTTGAGCCATCCTCCACTACTTTCCCAGGCCACAAGCAGGGAGCTGGATGGGAAGTGGAAATGCCGGGATTAGAACTGGTGCCCATATGGGATCCTGGAGCATTCAAGGAAAGGACTTTAGCCTCTAGGCCAAGGTGCTGGGCCTGATGGTGACATTTCTTATACAAATTTATCTCCTCCCTGCTTTAGGTCTAGCCTGTAGCTGGGAGAGCTTGGGCAATAATCTGTCCAAGTTCATCTCTGTCTTTCCACAGGTCTTCTGTGTCAACGGAGTCACAAACACAGTCTCCTGCAAGCTTGCACACTGTGCCCTCCCTCCCCGCCAACGCAGTCTTTTTGTGTTTGCAGGATCTCCAAGCTCTCTTACTTGCCTGCATCCTCCACAGCAAATATCATCAGCCTGGTCTATGCTGCTATTCCCTCGGAGCAGGGCGGCGGACCCTTCTACCTTCATCTTCCGCCACCCCCTGCTGACCAACTCCAAGCTAAGGAAATGGGGGTAAAGCTTTGATGAGGCTTTGTTTAGAGTTCGGGAAACAGCTGCTGGAACCATGAACCTGCTGCTCTGAAGCAAGGAATAGGGCTGTGAGCTCACCCCCGTCCTGCCTAAACCCCCGTGCTGGTATTGCTTAAACTGTTATAAGGCTTGGTTTCTGCACACGACGATGCTAGCTTTCCTCACACCGCTGGCAGGAAGCCGCAGAGCCCGAGTGCCATCCTCAGTCGTGCACCCGTCCAACCTGGGAGCCGGCAGGGGCTGGCACTTACTCCTCCCCAAATAGTGGAGGCTTTAGGGAGCATGTGTGGTCAACTCAGCCTCTCTTGGCTGCTTAGTGTGTCCATCTGTTTTGCTTCCTGGCCGTGTAACAGACCGGCCTCTGTGTCCGCTGCTATTTATTGCTCAGGTTCTGCTGATGGGGCACTTCACCTTGGCTTCAGAGGCACCAATCACTGGCAGTGTAGGAAGACACACTCTGGTTAAAAATAGAACAGAACAGGAATCAACCACTCCTCCCCAACTTCCCTGTCTCGAACAGGGCTTGGCAAGAGGTTCAGCAGAGAGAGAACTATGAGGCTTCTGGAAGTATTTAGGGCTTAAAAGGCTGGGTAGCGGGAAAGAATACAATAGGTCTGCATGTGTTTTACTGGAGCCAAGTTAGTGAGTTTTCTTTAGACACTAGAAGGTCTAAATCCATTCACCAGTCCTGGTCCAGACACTGTCCATGCTCTGCTGCAGGAGGTGGACTGATAGCTGCCTTCTGCCAGCTGGACACGCTGAGAGTCAGGGGGCCAAGTAGACTAGCTAGCATCACACAGGAGAATCTGTGAAACGCACAACTTCAACTCCTGAGCAGCAGGGTGCTTTGTAAACTATAAACAGCGTTGCAAACTAAAAAGTGCTATTTAAATCTCAAAATCAGTACTAGCCATTGGGAGCAATGGAGGGAGATGGTTTTGGAGAGACGTGTGTGGCTCAACCTTTTGGAGGCTTTGCTTGGATCTATGCCTTGCAGTTCTTCCAGGAGCAGCTACCGACCTCCTTCCAGGGGTTCAAGGCCATGCCGGCTCAGCCACAGGCCGGTAGCGCCCTCAGTTCTGATGACATGATCTTGGTAAGGCCATACTCCTACCTTGTTTGTGTTTTGGTTCTGAGAAGGACTCAAGGTGCCCATCCACTTTCAGACAGTCCTAGGCTCCCACCAGCTTCCCCAGGATTAAATGATCTGGGTTTTTTTTTTTTGTTGTTGTTCCTATGATAAACATGGAGCCTGAAATGGAATGTCTCATCCAAAGCTGGCTTCTTCCCATTCCTTCCATTCAACCAGTTGGCCAGTATCAGGGCTCAGGCACCTGACACCCTCTGGTAACCCTTGTGGGTCTCACCCTATTGCAGTTCCCTCACCACACTTACTGCTTGCCTTTACCCTCGAGTCTTGATGACTGCCTGGATGGAACTCAGCCTGTCCTTTCTCCTCCAACAGATCTCTGTGCCTCGCACCTGCTCTCAGACTCATCTTCCTTGTGTCCTTTTAGCCTGCCAGCGTCTTTACAGATCTCAGATCTCCTGGGCCCAGATCATGCTCATCAGCCCTCCCTGCCATCATCCCACCTTGACTGGAAGGCAGGCATGGCTACAGTTTGACTTAGCCAAAGCCAGGAGAAAAACCACTGCTAGTGCTTCCATTTCTAGGGGACTTTCTCCCAAGAACTGTAGAGTCCTGGGTTTGGGCAGCCTAGAACTTCCTGCCTCTGACCTCCCATGGTTGCCATATTAAGCACATACAATTTGGATGCTGCTGGCCAGCTATGTGGGGGATCTTTGTATGCAGGCCAATGAGGGGCTCTTTGTACCTTCTGGACTTAGTGCTGTTTCTCCATCTTCCTCCTTGCTCCAAGACCTAAGAGTTTACCATTCTCTGGGCCACAGTGTAAGGAAACCTACTACCAGAGAGGTCTCATTGTCTAGTTTAAGGCAAGAAGCAATGCGTGGGCTGTTCCTGGGGCTGAGGAACCCTTGTATGTGGTTCAAAAGAAGGTCCTCTTGCTCACCAAAAACAGGCCAGGGAAGGCAACGCTTCCTTTAAAATGGGAAGAGATCTTAAGATGGTCATGCAAGGTGCTCCTCTCCTTTCAGTTTGGTCACACTGAAACCATCACTTCAAAAGCATCATCACAACCTTATGGGGATACTGCAAAGACTCCAGAATCTTCCTTTGCATTGTTCGTACTATACCTCAGTTCTCCAGCTCATCCCTGTATTTGGCCAGTACCATCCTCAGAGAATGGATAGTACACTGGACTGGGACCCAGGTGGTCTTCTGTCCTACCTAGAGCACCTGCTGTATGGGGAGACGCCAAGCTCACGGCAGCTGGTATACCTTCAGCGGTTCTCACCTCTTCCAGAAGAGGAACTGGGGCCAGAGTTGCCAAGTCATTAGCCATTCAAGCTGGCAGGTGCTAGCACGGCAATGTTCTGGGTTCTAGAGCTCTATAGACTATAGACTAGATCTCTCCACACCTGTAGACTATCCTGACTCTGCTGCTTTGATGGGAGATTTCTGCAGACTCCTGTGAATAAACATTTACTGTTCTAGGCCATGGTGTCTAACTGTGAGCAAGACACAATTTTTGTCCTTCTAGAGTTTTTCTTCTAGAAGAGAAGCAAACAATAAGCATATATGAAGCTACTAAAATGTTTTCAAAGAACATGAAAGGATGAGGTCATTTTTGGTACAAAAAACTTCTGAAATGCAGGCATAGGTTCTTCATTCTCCAAGAGTTTTCTGAAGAGCTTTTGTATTCAGGAAAATGCATCAGATAATTTGTTACATGTTAGGAAAAGATGAAAAAGGGCACATTCTCTGTGGGGTGTGGGAACACAGCTCCTGGAAGGGAAAAATAGGGAAAAGATGAGAGGAAAAGTCTGAATAGAAGCACAGACAGAACAAAGGTTGAGAGATGGAGAACAGAGCGTGGCAGGGACACCTGTGGAGACGAAGGTGAGAGGTCAGCTACCACGGATGGAAGAGAATAGGAGTGGTGAAGGCCAAGAGAAGGACGCT